AGCTGGCTGTTTGGAAAAAAGTACATGGTCTAAATTCTAAAAATGGGTGAGAAATGCAAAATCTGAAAATTAAGAAAAATTAAGTTAAAACATAAAATACTAGAAAAATGCATGGGAACAATATAACATTTTATAATAATTTTATTCATTCTTATTTTGTATAAGTCTATGTATATATATATATATAATTTTACTCATGATTTTAATGAATTAATATTAATGGAAAAATTATTTGAAAATGGTTAATTGCTAATAGATGTGCAAACCTTTTCGTCATCTATGACCAGAATCCTCAGGCTTGCGTAATATTTTTCTGAATAAAATATTGAATTAGCCGTTTTTAAAAAAAACCGGACGAGTCAATTATAAAATTAAAAAATATTTATAACTATACAAGGTCTATTTTTTCAGGAACTTTCTTCCAGTTGGTATGTTTTGGTATAGATGTTGGGCATTCTCACAAAAATTACAACCGTAGAATAAATTTAAGCATTGATACATTCTTCGTCTACAAAATAATTGTTGGTATATTTCAAAATATATTGGTAAAATATCATATATAATTTTATTATAAGAATGGATAAATGTTATTAAAAACGATAGATAAATTAATTGCAAGGGCTTAGGCCTTTTTAGCCTTTGCCAATCTTACACGCTTCCTTTTTTAGCCTATTGGGATTTCTTCTTATAAGGAAATGTATAAATATTGCGCCTGACAGCTCATGCTGTTATGTGTAGAAAATTATATTAAAAAAAAATTTATACAAGAGTAAGAGCTCACATCTAGTTATCGTGATTAAAACTAATTTTATTCACGTTGGATGCATCCTGTTGAAATTGATTAAAATCAATATGTGAACCCGAATCCGGACCCGTACCCTAAACCCTCCTGAACTCTCGTATTTTGGATGTACCCGAATCCAGACCCGGATCCTTTTTAAAAGTGGAGGGTCCAAGGGTTCTAGGTGTCTTAAAAAATTTAAAAATAAAAATATTTTTCTAAAAAATAATATAAATATATATTTTTAAAAAAATAATATTTAATTTTTTAAATTTTATTCACTTTTTTTCGTGGAGTCATTTATCTTATCGTCGCGTTTTTCTTTCAATTTTCTTCCTGGACTTCCATTTTATTAGAGATTGATAAATTATTTTTTAGTGAAGGTAATAGTATTTATTCTACAATTGGCTATTAATGATTGCCTAAAAAATAATTGCTTTAAAACTATCATTGATAAAGCAAGGGATGTTGCAAAATATTTAAGAATTCCCACAATTGTAAGAATATTAATATCAATGAAAAGGTCAATGGCAATATTAGATTGCACGACACGTTGGTCCTCAATTTATATGATGCTAGAACGATTTTTAAGTTTGAAAGATTTCTATAATGATTTTAATATAAGAGCATGTGAAGTCATTTTGTCGGAAGATGATTGGTGCCAAGTGAAGGACCTTACTAGTGTATTAGTTCCTTTAAAAATAACAATATTAAATCAGAACAATTATGTTTATCTGATTTTTATGGCATATGTTTTAGATGCCGATTAGATTTAGAAAGATTTACTACATGAAAATTCGAGAGCAGCAATATTTACAAAAGAGTGTTATGTACGCTTCTATATATTTAGACCCGCGATGTTAAGTTTTATTGAGTATTGAGCAAAGACAGATGGCTAAAGACCATCTAAGGATTTATGGCATACGTAAAACTCTATTATTTACAATATATTGGAGGCTACAACAATACATACTGGTTGTAGTGATAATAATGATAATGATAGCAACGCTGATGATCTTGATATTTTACTTTTAGATAGAGAAGAAAAAAAATGAAATTATCATCAGATAGAAGGGAGGATCAAAAAATGCCTATTGAATCTTTAATAGTAAAGTTCTCAGAAGTTAAGAGAATAAATTAGCACAAATATTTTAAAATTCTGAGAAGAAAATTCTATTGTATATCTTGTCTAGAATCGTCATGGCTGTACCTAAGACACAAGTACCATAATTTATGTATTATAAAGATAACTATCTATTAGGTAGGCGTAGAACGTGGATTTTCATATTTTAAATATATATTGTCTAATTTAAGTGGAAATCTCAAGGATGATATTTCAAAAGATATTAAGATTGTGCAATTGAATAAAACATTTTAAATATAAATCATTTCATTTTTTTTAATTGTAAATTATGAATGTATATTAAAGTATAATAATAAACGAATAAAAAAAAGTGTCATTTTTTTATGTTCCCTGAATCCTAACCCTGAACCAGGACCCTTTTTAAATTTTATTATTGTACCCGAACCCGGACCTGGACCCATTTTTTGTCGAAGGGTTCACATTCCTGGTTTTGATGTACTTCTGTATAAATTATATAAAAGAAAGAATATGGTCAAAAAATGTGTAATGGTGTTTAAAAATACAAAATATCTAAATTGTAAATATAATAAATTAAAATTTTAAATTTAAAAATCATATATTTATTATTAAATACTTTAAATTTAAGGTCGAAAACATGTTAAACTTTAATATGAGAGTTTTTACCCCATTATTATTATATTTCAAATTTGAATAAAAATTTACGATTATAAAGAAATTTATAATTGTGGCTGAAATATTTTATTTATTCGAAATTTAGAATTATTTTTTCAAATAGAAATAGCTGGTACATTTAATAGCTTTTTTTTGAAGTAGGCACACAGCCACTTTTTAGGGGGAAAGCATTTGTAATTGTAGCTAGCTTTTTAAAAATAGCCTTTAATAACATTGCTTATTATATTTAGGTAAAAATATTTTATAATAATATAAGATTTAATAATTTCACCTGATCTGTGCTGATGCGATAGATTTTTAAGAACGATGACTTTAAACTTATGTGATCTGAAAAACAGATTAAAGCAAATAAAATTATATTCTAATAATTTTACCTGAAATCTGCAATTGTCAATAAAATAATATTATTCGTGATTTTGGAAGAAGGCAGGAAATTTTTTATATTTCTTACCCTATGTTTTTAAAAGAAGACATATAAACAAGTAAGAGTTTTTATTTTTAGAACATTTATTTTTATGAATTATATTATTGAAAAACAATACAATAATGGAGTAATATTTAATTGAGAGAGAAAATGGAATAGCAATATTGAAATGGAATAATTAATCAATATCAATATCATAATAAAATCTTAGTTATTTTTTATATGCTTTTTCGTTAGTTGAGTTTTAGTAGATTATATAATTAGTCTATTTTTATTCAATAGAGGCTGGGGACACGAAATTGATCAATACGGACAAATCGCTGCCCTTGAGAAGTCACCGCCTATGATAAGTTACTGGTGTGTATTGTATTAATGACATTTATTAATTCTTAACCGTAGCCATCTTTATATTATTAATTAGAATGATATATTCTATATCATATTAAGAACAGTAGCGTTACTAGAGAGAAAGCGCAGAGGCTCCAACCCTCTGAAAATTTTGAAAAGCCCCCTCAAAATTTTGATGTAATTTATAATGTTACATTTGATAATATTAGCTAAAAAAAAGATGGCAATTTTGAATTTTGAGCCAACTAAGATTGTAAACTGCCCCTGTTTAATAAATTTGCAAAAATGGAACATGAATTAATAGTTTATAAATTAATAATCATTTATAATAAATATCTATCAATAGCTTTAATAAAATAATAATTTAAAGTAACCAATATAAAGTTAATATTGGACACTCTACACGCGAATAACACTCTATTTTGATATACCTTAGAAGATTGTTGATCGATTTCTAAGGGGGTTAGAAATAAAAAAACTTGGCAAGGAATAAATGTGTCTCTTATATCATAGTAAAGACGCTGCATTCATACAAAGAAAATAAAGTATAGATAAAATTAAAAAATATTGCACTTCTACTACGGGGATGGAGGGGGTAGTTGGTAATTGGATGGGAATAGGTGGTTTTAAACTTATTCTCATTGGAGATTCTTTTATTGATTCATTAAAATAACGGGAAATAAATATGCTTACTGTTGTGAAAAAAATATACTAGAAAATCTATTATAAAGAAAAGATGCATATTATATGAAAATTTTGGACTAAACAATAACACTGACATCTTTGCATGCTGGTAAAATTTCTAAAGTCCTGAAAGTTCTAAACCGAACCCGGACTTTGGTTCTGGGCAGTAACATCATTAGAGGGGGGAAAGCAGGTGCTCGAGCCCACTAAAAAAAATTGAAGAGCCCACTAAAATAGGTGTTACTAAAAAAAAGGTAATTGAGCCCCCTGAGATTGTAAAGGCTAGTGACGCCCCTGATTCCGGATTTCTTTTCTCGAACCCATACCAAACTTGACCCGAAAATATTTTAACTCAAACCTGAGCTCTTTAGCATAAATTTAGACATTTTTTGATTCATTTCTAGTAAAAGAAAAACATATTAGGTTACGTTCCGACCTTTTTGTTTTTACCCTTATCGCATTAAATACAACTGCCCTAATCTGATTGTCGATTACCGTTTTTCAAATGTTATACCAATAGATTTATTAAATCTAATAAAAATAGCTATTGAAAGCTTTTTTTACTCTTATTTTAAAAAATCTTATATATCTCATTCCATTTGATCGATTTTCGCTTGCCTAGAACGAACTATTTTTCAAAAATCTTTACACATGACCTGTATCTAAGGCTAAATTTTTATTTTCTCCAGAACCTTGAAAATACTGATTACTTGTTATTGTCTTATATTGTTAAAGAATGTTAGAAATTTGAATAAATACCGGAGAAATAATATCTTTATAGTATTTTTTAAATGAACAAATATTTTTTTTTCTAGTTTTAGAAATACTACAAATATTTAAAATAATTTAGAAGTAACTTTGAAGAATCTATAAATTACGATTAACCATTTTTTATATAATTGTTAGAGATACCAATCTGTCATAAATAGACATAATGTCACGTATAACACATCATAGTACTTTATAGTATTCATAGTATTTTGTTTTAAAACATGCTGAGTAAATTCAAATTTATTTTTTTATTATTTGTAGGAATATTTGTAAGATATGTGTTATTACAATACTCATATCTATTAAATTATTTTGATTTTATAAATTTAAGGAATCCTTACAATTCATGGAGGAATTGTAGGCTAAAACTATCTTATTGTATTTTATAGTTAATTTTAGTTAAAGAAGGTATAATTTTACATGAATATGGAATAGATCCCTATGATGGTGATATGTTTCATGAAGTAGCCTAATTTTTTAGAATTTATAAATTATTTCATATAGAATCCAATTGATCTAAAATTATTTTCTTTATTAAATCGTTGGATTCCTAATGGCATTCCATACATTTTCATAGTAATGATTAAATATTCTATATTTATCTTACCTATATATTAAGGTTATTCAAATTATAACCAGCCTAATAATATATCAAAATGGAAAATTAATGATCAATTTCCAAGTAAAAGCATATTGTTGAATTTATTATTTTTCTAATATTAGAAAAATTTTAATCTTAAATGGGTTTATACCTCAAATATTCCACTCAATTTAATGATTTTGTAAGTTTAAGAGCATCTCTATATTAAACTTTATTTAGATATTTATACAACCCAGTTAATATACTTGATTGTGCATTATTAAATTCATCAGTATTTCAGCATCTTATTGTATGTACCATATTAAATTTTTGTTTAAAAGGTATATTTTCTAGAAATATATTTGTTATTTTTTTATTTAGGTAATCTGCTTGTATCATCCATTGTTTTATCTGTTTTATTTTTACATTCATATAATGCAATGATTTTGGTTATTCCTTCCTCATTAATTTTATATTATCATAGCTGCCATGATAATCCTTTTAAAAAATGGATAGATCTTGCTCATTCCCCAAGTGCAATTAGTAATGATGATGATAATGATAAAAATGTAAACAAATATAGTAATATTATGAACATTATTATTGTTTTTACTACCCTTACATTCTTATTTTTTGCTTGTCTGCTTTTATTATGTTTCTATTTATCTCCTCACCCATCTTGGAAATTTCTGGACAATTGTTTTATTCAAAAGTTTGTATAATAAATTTTACTCTATAATAACGTTTATTTAAGATTTTTTATTACTGATTATACACCAAATTTGGGAATTTCTTGGTATACATTTGCTGAATCCTTTCCACATTTTCAAACATTTTTTCTTTGGATGTTCAGAATTCCTTGTTTTATATATTTCATACCACTTTCTATCAAATATGGGTAATTCCGATAGAAAATTTTATTTCATAATAATATTTTTTTTTTGTATTCAAATAGCTCAATTGATCCTATATTCCTATTCTATATGTTCTTAATTTTAATAGTCATATTTGAACCATATCCAGCTTTGGGTGATATGTTTTTTCTGCTATCCTTTTTCCCATTATGGTACAAGCAATTATTTCCATGTAAGAAAATTTTTTTTGAAAATATTATTATATTTTCATTGTTAAAGCGGTTTCAATTTTTTAATTGATATTACCATTGGCCAATATCCAACAAATAATAATTAATACACTCATATATTTTAAACTTTTTTTAGCCTAAGTTTGATTATGTAAAAAAATTAATGATTTCAACTAATAAGAAAGACACAAAGATGATATACATTTTTTCCCCAATGTTTTTTTTACCTTTAATGTTATTTTACTTTTACAAATTTCAAATATTAATTATAAATGATAATATTAATGAATTATAACTTTTTCCCAATTAACATTACATATAATTATGATAATGTAAATTTGGTAATGTATCTTTGATTGAAATCATACAGTAACATGTGGCTACGACTTTATAATAAATAAGATTGAGGAATTTTTATGCATATCTTATATGATGAGGGGGAATGACTTATTCAAACTAAGTCCTGCTTTATTTGTAATATATTATCCAAATAATTATTAATTATATTTTTCTAAATCAGCCTGATTAAATTTATCAATTAGAAATTGAAATAAAGGAATTACTACTTAAAGAATAACTAAAAATAATGAATTAAAAAGATTAAATAAATATATTAAAAGAAATGGAAAAGAAAGGAGGATCATCCAAGCAAAGAGTCAAGGAGATCCTTTGGCGGATCATTGGATTGGAATCTCCACTATTTATAGTTATTTTTTTCCTAGCAATTTGATTAAATGAAGAGCCTCATCGCTGAATATTCCTTAAGTTTTGGTGATGTGACAAAGATTACTTTGTTTAGGATCTTTGAAAATATATTGGTGGAGAGGAATCATAATACAACCATTTTCTAAACTAAACAAATTTTTCAAAAAAAATATTTGCTATGCTGGCTTCCTCAGTACACAGGGAGCAGAATTTTCTAATTGACGGTAACATTTCTTTGAAGAAACATGCATCTAAATCCTGGTATACGTTTCGTTATTATTTTTACAGCATAATTTTAAATGGCTTTAAATCAATTTTGAATTCATTTTATTTCTTTAGCTTTATTTTTTATATTTTGAAATTAATAGAACAAACATCACTTGTTATCCAATATTTGAATATGCATATTGCATAATATATGATAGAATATAGAGAATTAAAAAAATATTTATTTATTTTGATATGCATTTCCTAATTTTCAATTGCATGATAAAGTCTTGGGTCGAGAAATAAAACGATTTTGCAAATCTCTAATATAAGCTTAAACAATTTTTTTTTAAAAAAATCATTCTTTCTTCTCATGTTTTGAGACGTATATTTTTGAAGAATTGATAGAAATTATACTGCATTCCAAAATTTACTAATTATACTCACGATACTTGCATTCGACGGGGCAGATCTCAACGCCTATTTTTAACATTTTATATAATCGGAATTGTAACATTTTTGTCGAAAGCTTTGTGGGAGAGACTTTTAATAAAATTAACTTGAAACCACGCTGTAACTATACGGTATTTTAAAACACAACACTGAAAATTTAATAAATCACAAAGTTACAATTCGGTATTTTAAAACACAACAGTGAAACTTTAAGTAATCACGAAACAAAAACTATTTATTTCGAAATTTTATGTCTGTTTATATACATTTTTTTTAATATGCAAAAAAAATTAAAAGTACATTAAAGTTCATTAAATTATAATATATTTCAAAAACTAAAATATTCATATATCCTTAAATAATAATTTACAATCATCGATACTCTATTAACAATATTCAAAAACCAACTAATTATATAATAAAATAATTCATATTCTTCATAAAAAATGGAATACGCATAAATCTAACAATTTAAATACCTATAAACTAAAAAATTTTAAAAAATTTGTAATTGACATTGATATGAAAAAATTTTTATTTAGGAAGTGAGTTCCAGAATTGCTACTAATTATACTAGCATTTTGGGTATTGTTAAGAAGTGGATATGGATCGATTTTAAAAACGGCCCGATTAAATTTTTGTCTAAAATAATATTATATAAGCCTGGCGATTTTTTTCATAGATGGCAGAAAGGTTTGGACCTCTATTTGCCAAATCTCGAGGCTTATATAATATTATTTTGGCTAAAATCTTAATCGGGTCCTATTTAAAAATTGTCCCGAATTAGGCTTTTTAACAACATTAATTTTAGGAATATTTGTTTTTTAAAATACTAATCGAAGAAGGCGTTTACAATTGAACTTACTTGTATGGAAAAAAAAATGATTTTAAAAAATACGTTCAAAATAAGCAAACAATAAAAAATTGTTTTAAACATAAATATGTATAGTCTTTAAAAAATCTAAGAATCAGAAGGTATCAGCATTTTCAGGAATATTTAAGTAGCGAATTGGAATGGGCAGAAAATATGAAAATATTTTAGTTTTGTCAGGTATATTTATTAATTAAGCTAATATTTTCCCTACCCACAAACCTAAAGATGTCACTATAAATTTGGACATTGAGGTAAAATTTAATAAAAAAGGATATATAAATATGATTTATTGTTATATTTTTTTCAAATACAATTGAATTAATTTTATTTTACACTACATATATCCAAAATTAAGTTATGAGGCAACCTTTGCTCTATGGGTGCATGTTCTTAGCCTCTATCACAATATCCCCAATAATTTGGTATTTATGGATATATGCAGATACAGCTAATGCGAATTTTTACTACGGCATGTCCATACTGTACACGTTATCACAAGTATATGTCGCATATTTAAAAGAAACAATTTAGGGCAAACTGGGGCTAAACTGCGGGAATTTATTCACAAAAAAAAATGTTCTTTAGGCTAAAAATAATATTAAATTATACTACGATATTCTCATTATCTTATAAATAATGAATTATTAGAGATTTTTGTTTGTCCGTCATTGTAAAGTGATAGGTTTAGGCAATTTCAATATATTTCTATTAGAATATAAATTATCCTCAAAGAAAAGTATTCCATATAAATGTATATGTATTTTACAAAAAAAAATCATAGTTGTATTTCATTTAAAACCAAAAATACTGAATAATATGTAAGGTCGTATCTAAAATATCAAAATTCTATTCGCAAACTTTTGAAACTATAGAAAAAGAAGAAATAAGCTTTTTTAACATAAAAATAATAACATGCCCAAAATATTAACATATGATTTCACTTAAATTTAAAAACTCTGCATGTTTTTAGATATGAATTTTTGACAAAAATTTTTGGATATAAATAATTAATTAATGAATACATAACAATTTCGAAAATAATTAGAATATAAGATTTAAAACATTTATTAATATTATGTTAAGGAATATAATTATTAATTTATATTATCTTATCATTAAATACATCAAGCATTTAATTTTAATGACTTGTTTATATTTTTTTTAAAAAAATATAAATTATATGCGCCATTTGTAGTTTACTTCTTTGCTGTTTACTCAAGTATTTGCAGTTTAGTCAAATCGATAATTATTTATCAAAATGATATTAAAACGTTATAATCGATGCCTATTTGATTTGGTCTATTAATTAAATTCGCAAAGCTAAAGATTCTTTCTTCTAACATAAGATTGAAATGGAATTATATTTAAAAAAATAATAATTTTTAAAATGTTATAAAATTTTTCAAAACTGAAATAATCATCCACCTCAACATTAGAGGCATAATCTCATTTTCATTTAGAGTTAAGAGAGCTTCATCTAAAAGGAACTGAAAGTGAAAAGGAAAGATAAAACACCTTATTTGGGATTTCAATTGTGCCTACCAATTTTCCTCTAACCCGAACATTGACCGATTATTACAGCTGAAACGTCAAAAATTACAAATTACCACGACTTTTCTAATTTTCATTTTAAACCAATAGTTATATCAACCAATGAATATCTAGACCCCCTAGGCTATCATTTTTTTTAAATTTTAGGTAAAAAATAATCTCAAATTAATGGTAAACATGGAATTCCATCATGCTACTTTTTAATATAAATAAAAATAAAGTGATCAAACATTAAGCTCTAATTCATTTTAATAAAAACAAGTCATTTAGTCAGTTATTTAATTTTAATGACATGTTTATATTATAAGGAAAAGAATCAGAACTGATAGAGATAAACAAATAATTTATCTGCAGAATTTGGAGTTTATCCAGACATTTGCAGTTTAGTCAAACCCTATTGTAGAAATTAAACTGTATATAAAATATATACATCCTATAGGGACTGTACTAACCAACTACCCTTTTATCTAATTTGCCGATTAGCCCCGGCCTCTCCTAAATAGATTTTTTTTTATAAAGTTTAAGAATATTTTTTTAAGTTCTTTAAAAAACATTATTCTTTTTTTCAGTGGTTTTGTAAGTATTTGAATGCGAAGTTTTATTATTTTCTACGGTGGTGCAAAGTCACCTTTTTGAATATAACAGAATTATTAACTTTTTTAAATTCAATGATTTTGACTATTAACTCAAAAATGAGGTTATTTTGAAATTAAGGTAATTATATTTTTGTTAAATTATGCGATTGTAAAATTATTTTATTTATAAACGTAGATTTTATTTCTTTCCGACCTAATATACGCTTACAATTTACGGAGATTTGTATTAGTTCTGCAAATTGACGACTTAGACGCTATAAATAAAGGTGAGAAGCCGATTCAATTGCCTAAAAAAGATGACATTCAATTTAAATTTCCATTTTTCTAATTATATAACGAGATTAATATATATATGTAATATCACAATTAATATATCATGTTGATTTGTTATATCAGATCAAATTACTCGAACAAATTCTTATGGAAATTAAAACGGATATAAAATATTCTTACAAAATAAATATCAAATTTGTATCTCAATATGGCTTAAATTCATGTGTTCTAAATGTGCATTTTTTTTATTAAATGGATAAAATAATTAATCTTTTTAAAATAATTTATATTGTGTGTGTTATTTATTAGGAGATTTGCACGACTCGAAGTCTAAAAGAATTTTTGGCCAAGCATCTGGTAATTTCTGCAAAATTGAATTTCGCAAATTTTTTTAAAGTTTAGATTAGGTAAATTTATGTTTCACAAAAACATTACGGGCACCGAAATACAGGGGCCCGAAAACTTGTAAAAATTACGAGAACAACTCCATCAAAGACGTATTTTATAAAAAATAAATTTAAAAATATCTTTCATGAAAAATTGAATTTTTAGTAACGGGGTAGAGGCCCGTAGGGGGAAATGGAAGGGTAAAAAATATTAAAATACGGCAAAAAGAGAAAGCAAAATTCATAGTAATATCGATTGTCTCGCTTATTATCTATTATTTTTATCTATATAGGGTTTCCCATTCAAAAAAGGAAAAGTCCCAATAAAAAAAGGAAAAGTTTCAATCATAAAAGGAAAAGGGTTAATCATAAAAGGAAAATCTCCAAACAAAAAAGGAAAAAGTTCAATCAAAAAAAGAAAAGTGTCAAACAAAAAAGGAAAAGGTTCAATCAAAAAAGGATAAGGTCCAATCAAAAAGGAAAAGGGTCAATCAAAAAGGAAAATTCCCAAAAGGAAAGGAAAAGTGTCAATTCAAAAAGGAAAATTCCCATTCAAAAAAGGAAAATTATAAATTTTTCATATTTTATTTATTTTTGTCATTCCTTCTTATTTTATTTATAACTTTTTGCGATTTCTTTACTTTATTTGTATCTTTTCTCAATTTATTTTTCTTACTATATCTTTTCTCAATTTTTTTTCTTCTCATTTTTGTTAATTCTTTTGTATTTTTAAAAATAATTTATAAATTTAGGTCCATTTTTTTAACAATTCTTTACGTTTTTTATTCATCATACTTTTAAAGGATAAAGAACTATACGGCTATCACGTTTGAACCATGATATAGGAGAATCTTATTTAAAAGCGTTTTCCGCGCGTTTCGTTTATTAATTTTATTGTTATTCATTAATTTTCAATTTTTTTGGCCTTATGAAATAAGATATGTCTTACCAATCGATAGCTAATCAAAAGATCTATTCAACTAGAGGTCAATCTCTCTCCTATAATGGGCTGGTATAGGTCTTGGTGGGTCAGAAATATTTTTATCAACACAAAATATCGATATGGGTATCAAATAATAGCTAATTTTAATATAGTTTGAGTGAAAGTCTTCATTCTTGGTCTGGATGGGTATGACTTGGTCTGGAGTGGGGGGGGGGGAGTAAAAAATAAATTTTTTTGATATGGGTATCAAATAAAAGCTAATTTTAATATCGTTTGTCTGAAAAACTTTATTCTTGGTCTTGATTGGTAAGACTTGTGGTCTGGGGGGTAAAGGTGAGGAGGGGGGGGGGTGTAAAAAATAATTTTTTTTGATATAGTCATCAAATAAAAGCTAATTTTAAAATCGTTTGACTGAAAGTCTTCATTCTTGGTCTAGAGGGGGGGGGGGAGTAAAAAATAAATTTTTTTGTTATTGGTTATCAAATAAAAGCTAATCTTGATGGGTATGACTTGGTCTGTGGGGTGGGGGTGAGAGGGGTGTGTAAAAAATGATTTTTTTTAAAATGTGTATCAAATAAAAGGTAATAAAAAATATTTTTTTATTGTAATAATAATAATCACTCATAGAGTGCGGGTCTAGGTCTTCGGGGGTCAGGAATATTTTTATCACCACAATATATCGATATGGGTATTAAATAAAAGCTAATTTAAATATCTGTAGATTGAAATTATTCATTTTTTGTCTTGATGGGTATGACTGTCAGGCCCTCAACATATTAACAAAATGTCTAGTTGGATAGAATTTACAGAAATAAAAGAGAATGAAGATAAAACAATTTTTTAAATCTTTTTTCGGTTCCAATCCTGAACTTAATATATAATTTGCAGTAGTGATCTGCATCGGTCCTAATTTTTCAAGCCCGACCCGGCCCGAAATTTTTTTTATAATGTTTTGCCAGGCCCAGCCCAAACCCGAATTTTTTTAAAAAAAATTTTGCCAGCCCGGCCCGAATTTATTTAAATATAGAAATTAATTCTTATAATTACTCAAAATAAACGATATATGTTATATGGCGTCTAAATTCTATATATAAAATCACATATTTTTATTTTACATAAAAAATTCAACATAAAATTGATAAATTTAGATATATTTTGACCCGGCAAGGCTAAAATTCTTAAAAAATATTAGGCCCGTCCCGAAGCTCGTTCGAGCCTGACAGGGTTCGGGACGGGCCTACTTTTGCAGATCTCTAATTTGCAGTGTTCTATATTTAGCTCGTTATTCCATAGCTATTTTTTTTAGTATCGATAGCTTTAGAGTGCTACATTTTTTTAAAAAGAGCTCGTTACTAAATAAATGGCAAAATTTATTATAATCATTTTATAAAATTATCTCTAAAATCATAATCTTTTTATTTTATTTATTTAAATTTACATTTAAAAATATTCATTATAAATATATTTTTCAAAAAAATAATAATTTTTAAATGTCGACAGTAGACATTGATAATGAAAATAATTTTGGTACAGAAAAAATAAAAATATGATTTTAGAATTAATTATAAAATTATTATAATAATTTTTGCTATTTATTTAGTAACGAGCTCTTTTTAAAAAGATGTAGCACGCTAAAGCTATCGATACTAATAAAAAAAGGTATGGATAATATACACGCTAAATATAGAACACTGCAAATTATATATTTGAAGTTCAGGATTGGAACCGAAAAAAGATTTAAAAAATTGTTTTATCTTCATTCTCTCTTATTTCTGTAAATTCTATCCAACTAGACATTTTGTTAATATGCTGAGGGCCTCACAGTCATATCCATCAAGACAAAAAATGAATAATTTCAATCTAAAGATATTTAAATTAGCTTTTATTTGATACCCATCTCGATATTTTGTGGTGATAAAAATATTCCTGACCCCCCAAGACCTAGACCCGCTCTCTATGTGATTATTATTACAATAAAAAAATATTTTTATTACCTTTTATTTGATACACATATCAAAAAAAATTATTTTTTACACCCCCCCCCTCACACCCCCTCCCCTAGACCAAGTCATACCCATCAAAACCAAGAATGAAGACTTTCAGTCAAACGATATTAAAATTCGCTTTTATTTAATACCCATATCAAAAAAAAATATTTTTAACACCCCCCCTCCATACCCCTCCCCCACCCCCAGACTTAGTCATACCCATCCAGACCAAGAATGAAGACTTTCAGTCAAACCATATTAAAATTAGCTTTTATTTGATACCCATATCGATATTTTGTGTTGATAAAAATATTTCTGACCCCAAGACCTAGACCCGCCCATTATGGGAGAGAGATTGACCTCTAGTTGATTGGATATTTTATTTAGCTATCGATTGAACCCTATATTAGACATATCTTATTTCATAAGGCCAAAAAAACAACATTGAAAATTAATGAATAACAATAAAATTAAAAAACGAAACGCGCGGAAAACGCTTTTAAAATAAGATTCTTCTGTATCATGGTTCAAACGTGATAATGCCCTATAGTTCTTTATCCTCTAAAAAATTGAAATTTTAAAAGGACCCCTTTAAAAATTACAAAATATGTATGATGAAAAAAAAACGTAAATAATTGTTAAAAAAATGGACCTAAATTTATAAATTATTTTTTTTTTAAATTACTTACTTTATTATTTATTCATAATCATTAAATTACAGAGGATTAAAAAATATATATTAAAATGGATATATTAAAAATATAAAAAAAATAAATATATAATATATATATAATCTATGAAGACATTAAAAAGGACTATAAAAAAAATATATATAATTAAAAAAAAGGGGGGTATATAACATGAGAAGAGTGAATACTTAAAAAATTAGACCGGCAAATTTCCAGGGAAATCTGCTGGCGAAGGTAAAATCCTTCATTGGAGTCCCCTGAGATCTGTCTCATTTTTTTCCTATGATTTTAATGAAATTGAGGGCCTCGTTTCCAAACATGCCTAGGGTATTGGTAACGATAGGAATGAACATAGTGTTGGCGAGGCCAGCGTATTTATTTTTTTTAAGGATTTCTGCCTTTTCGATAGCAGAAAATGAGAGGTTAGACTTGGCTGCAAAATCAACGCAAGTGTAATCTCATGTTAGCGGAAGACCATTAGACCAGGGTATGAGAGAAATACCATCCGTGCGTATGGCGTATTCGTTTGAAAGACCCACTGGTTCGAGGGAAGATGGGATATTAACTTTTTTGAGGAGGCTAGTAAAATGTTATTGATAGATTTATGACGAGGTTGTCGTCCACGGGAGAACTTGCAGTGCAAGGGATGGTAAGCCTTCGATTCAATGGGCTGACCACAGTCGATGCAGATGGAGGGAACTAAGACATTACAGCCGAGGCGGAGGGCTATAGATATACGTAGCTGTTCTTAGTACCAAATTATTGGGATTTTCCTCAAAGGGCCTGTTCGAAATAAGATATCCAACGGAAAGGGCGATCAGAGGAGCATCCCAGTCTTTTTGGGTACTGGAAGCGGGACGGCTAAGGGTGGGAGAGCATTTGTTGTCCCAAAAGGAGAGGGCCTATGAGAGGTCAGTATCTGAAGGAGTGGATCCATTGTCGATAATAGATTGAGCAGCAAGACGAGATGAGATAAAGGATGAGAGGGAAAGTTGTAAGGGGGATCGGATACCAATACCACCAGACTTGCATGGAAGGGTGGCCTGGAGCCAAGATGAATTGGAGAATTTAAGGTTTAATATGTTTTCTAGGAGATCCTTAATTTGGGTTTCGTGGGAAACTAGCAAATGGCTGCATTTGAAGATCGGTGAGG